TATATCTCTTACATCTCTTTGAATCTGTAGTTTCTGCCCTCTCTTTTAAATTTTTCTTGCATTTTATATGTAGAAAAGAACATAACAATGTTTCAGACTCCTTTTGAAATGATGGGGAACTTCCTTATCAGAGCTTATCAGGTAAGGATAATCCCCTGGTCACACCATAAGGGAATCCTCACCTCTCCCCTTAACCTCTGGGCCCCCAGCTTCCTCCTGGGCTGCAACCCTTATGAGCAGAAACAAACAGAAAATATGATAAATGATTTCATTTTAAATTCAGTCAGTAATTCCTCCTCCCCTCCAGAAAGGGCATTTTGAAACAATTGGGTAGAAAAGGAACTCTAGGATTCAAACACTGATGTTGAGCAGGTTGAATGGTTGCCTCCCCCCATTCCCGCAACAAAAGATATGTCCACATCCTTACCTGCTAAAACTGTGAAAGTGATCTTGTTTGGAAAGAGTCTTTACAGATGTAATAAAGTTAATGAACCTGAGATGAGATCATTTTGGTTTATCTGGGCCCTAAATCCAATGACGAGTGTCCTTCTAAAAGGCACACAGAGGAGAGGGCCATGTGTCCACAGAGGCAGAGATTGGAGGGATGGCCACAAGCCAAGGCATGCTGACAGCCACCGGAAGCTGAAAGAGGGAAGGGACAAGCTCTTCCCCAGAGCCTCTGGAGAGGCACAGCCCTGATGACACCTTCATTCCAGACTTCTAGTTTCCAGAACTGTTAGAGAATACATTTCCGTGGTTTTATCCCCCAAGCCATGGTGATTTGTTAGAGCAGCCACGAGAAGCTAATATGGTTGCATACAAAAACTCTGCCTGGGAAAGCTGTCTGGAGGAAGCAGAACCCCTGAATTTCTAACTGTGAAATAATAAATATATATATTGGTCTGTGCCCCTAGCTCCTGGCACAGAGCTCCTAAATCCCTTCAAATATCCTGAAACATATTTCGTTCTAATGAGGTAACCCTTGGTGGACTTCCAGACAGTGGCTGGTCACCAGAAGGGGCAAGCCATAATTAGAAGCTTGGAATTCTCAATCCCCCCTCCCCATTCTCCAGAGAAGGGAGAGGGACTGGAAGTAAGTAGAGTTAGTAATCAATCCTGCTTATGAGATGAAGCCTCCCTAAAAATCCCAGTTGCATGGGGTTTGAGGAGCTTCTGTGTTGGTGAAAAGATCCATGAACTGTGACGGTGATGCACCCCAACTCCATGGGGACAGAAATCTCAGCACTTGGGACCATTCTAGACCTAGCCCTGTGTACCTCTTCATCTAGCTGTCATTTGTATCTTTTATCCCATCCTTTATTATATAATAAACAGGTAAACATAAATGTTTCCCTGAGCTCTGTGAGCTGTTCTAGCATATGATCAAATCCAAGCAGACTGTCATGGAGACCTCAAATTGTAGCCAAGTTGGACAGAAGTTGTGAGGACCCAATTTTTTTTTCTGAGAGTACCATATGTCTATTTTATTTTTATTTTTATTGTTGCTGAGGACCCAATATTTGCAACTAGCATCTAAAGAGAGGGCAGTCTTATGGGACTAAGCTTTTAACCCATGGGGTCTATACTAACTCCAGTTAGTGTCAGAACTGAATTGTAGGACACCCAGCTAGTACCTCAGAGAATTGCTTGGTGTGGGAAAAACACCCCACATGCCTGCTGTTAGAAGTATTGAGTGTGGCAGTACTGTAGGAGTACAGGAGAAGCACACAGGAAGTGTGTGTCTTTCCAATACACTATCACCCAGACACTTCCTTCTCCTGACACCTGCTAGGTGGCCCCTGCCAACAAGGTCCATTTCCGGCCCCTGTCACTATTAAGTGCAATGTTATCTTGCAAAACACTGGAGTGGGTGGCACAGCAGGGCCAAGAGCCCCAGGATCATGCCAGGTGAGCCTGGCGGATGTTCACAAGCTCTTTCAGCCTGCCTTTCCCTGATCAATGGTGCCTCCTTACAGCCAGGAGAGTAAGTAAACTGCAGAGGTCTGGAATCATTTGTTCACTTGTTCATTAATTTATTCAAGACATATTCACTAAGGGTCTCCTTGGTGCCAGGTGTTGGGCTCTGTTCTGGGCATGCAAAGCTGGCTCAGACCTCGTGCTGGTCTTCATGGAGATGGGGTCTGGGGGAAGTCACAAGTAAACCATCACAATATTGCCTGATGAGTGTGTGGGTGGCAGAAGTGGTGCAAAGAGAGACCAGCCCAGACTAGAGAGGGAGATTTGCAGAAGGCTTGTGGGTGGGAGGAAGTGGTGTCCCTAGGTTTCCAGCATGCTAGCCACAAACCACATGTGGCTTTTAAATTTTAAATTAATAAAAACTTAAGTACTATTGAAAATTCAATTCCCACTAGCCCAATTTCAAGTGCTCAAGAACTTTATGTATATCACAAAACACCTGTGTCTCTGTAGAAACTTCCATTAGAAGGTGCTGGACTAGGCTGAAGCTATCGAAAGAGAAGTTATCCAGGACTAGGCAGGACGGCTGTCCCCAGCGGTCCCTACAGGACAGCCTTGGACACAAACACGGTTATAAGGCTCGGTTGGAGGCGTCCAGGCCAGTTTCTGTGGTGCCTTGTCAGCCGTCTCGAGCCCCCGCCACGGACGGAGGAGCCATGGGAGCATCCGAGCAGAACAGTCCGGTCATCAGACTTGAGCTGTGGAGAATGGCCTGGAGGCAGAAGGGTCAGCCAGCAGGCAGGCGCGCACCTCCAGGGCCCTGGACGGCCAGAATGATAGCAATGTGGGTGAAGAGGGATTTAGCGCATCTGTTCAACAGATGGGGGACTGTCGTGAGCAAGGAAGAGGGAAGCAAGCTTGTGGCTGGACCTAGTTGGTGGACGGTGCCAACAGTTCCCTTTTCTGATGTGGAATCTGAGGAAGCCGCTGAGAAACATTGTCAAGTGTGGATACTCAAGGGAGTGGGCTGCACTTAATCTGGAAGGCCGCATTCCTCAATGCTATTCCCCCTGTGGCTCCCCACGGAACATACTAGAAACAGAAAACATGGGCTCTGAGCCTGTGGAATTCCCAGGTGCCAAAAAAGCAATAGGCAGAACAGTGGCTCCAGGGCAGGCAGGTGAAGGAGAGGTGGACAAGAAAAATTGCCTGCCTTTTCTCTTTTTCTGCTATCTCCCATCCTTCATGATGCCACTCACTGAGAAATGGCTCCCACCACCTCTGCGTTCCAGAGCCCCTGCAACAAAACAGCCTTTTTGATTCCCACAGTTCTGTGACGCAGACTCCAAATCCCAAACACCTCCAGCGCTCCTCAGAAGCCCCTCCAGCCTCACTTCTTCCACGCTCTTCATTTTGTCTGGAGCGTCTGTTCCTTGCTTCTATTTCTGCCCCTTGAAAGTTAATGACTCCCCTTTGTCCCGCTTGTTCACAAAACTCCACTGTTCCAATTGTACTTTTTTTGGACACATATTAAAATAAAGCCATAGCTACAAAGTCAGAATACATATGTGTATTACTCTGTATCACCTAAAATAATCTCATATGTCATCTGTGGGTACGTCTACTACATTTTGGGAAATGCTGTCTCAAGCCACTTGTACAATTTGCTTTTCTTTCTTATTATTCATCTACTTGTCTTATTTCTTGTACTAAACACTCAGTTCCAGACAGCAGATTATATCTTCTTCATTTTGGGGATCCTGAAGCATCTAGTAAAAACAATTCAGAGGTTTACTGAATAAATATTTTTAAATCAGTAAAGCCTCTATTTTGTATCAGGCACTGTGATTATCTATATGATATTACATTATTAGGAGTTAAAATAAGATCCATGATAAACTTTGGTTTAAAATTTTTCAACTTATTTTTTTAGAGCAGATCTAGTTTCATAGTAAAATTGAGGGGAAGGTCCAGAGTCCCATATACGTCCTGCCCCACACATGTTCAGCCTCCCCTTTAATCAACAGTAGACTCTCAGAGAAAGAGAAATCTCTTTTCTTCCTTAATCTTCTGCCTTCTGGCTAATTCTAGAGTCAAAGAGAGAGAGAGGTTATTTGACAAGACAGAAAGGATACAGAAAAGAAAGGCAAGTGTTACCTCTGTGAGAAAAGGGAAACACCACATTTACAAGACAGCATCTGTTAACACAGAAGATGAATATTTTGTATTTGTTGAAAAATCCAACCAGATCATATTAAGGTGTTCAGAGGTACCCATCTGGAATGCCTGCCCTTATCTAGAGGGGTCAGCTATTCTCAGCTCCAGCTGACTGTTACCGTGTGGGGTTATCAGCTCAGTGGGCCCAGATCTTCCAGGGTTCCAGGATAGGCTGGGAATCCAGGTTTTTATAGCACAGTCCAGGTTTTTAGATCAAACTGCTTTTCAAACTGGATATGGCTCACAGGCCATAAAGCTATCACCTTGGCCAACTGGAGAGAGCTAGTGGAAAATTTGAGTGAAAAAAAAAAAAGGAGATGATCATAATATTTATGCTTTAGAAAAACCACATTGTTGTGTGGGGGAGGAATTACAGGGGGTAGGCTAAAGGAAAGGAAACCTGTTGGAGGCTTGCAACAGTTTCAATAGGTGGGAGGTGACAGTGGGCACACCAGGGCAGGGACAGTGGGAAAGGTTGTTGGCTAATTTGGAGTCCAGTGGAAGAATTTCCCATTTGGAAGAAGGCATATGCATTCTTTGAATGCACCTCCCCCCACAACCCTTTCCCATTATGGGCGCTGAAAGGCGCAGAGCAGAGAGATCATCTCTAAAAGCCAGAGGAAGGCAATTTTAGCAGACTCCTGCCTTGGGCAGTCTAATTTCACCTATGCTCATTTTAGAGACAGATTCCTTGACCAGCTGCCCCAACCCTTACATGCTCCACCAATGGGCTCTGCACATAATTAAAATTAAAAACATAAATCATGGCATTAACTTTTTTGGACAGCCAGTGGGAAACTCAGAGCCAAATCCCTTTTTGCGAACTGCAGAGGGAGGAACTGGCTCCCAGAGAGGCTGTTTCATAGAGGCAGACACATGAGAAGTGACTTCAGATCCATGTTACAGTCTTGCTGGTTGGTCAACTGGTCACTTGGGTCCATGGAAGAATGCAAAGGGTAGAAGAGGAAAAAAGGCATGATCTGCAGAATTTTTCTGATACCCAGCAAGTGCTGTTTTTAGAAACTCTTTTTTCTGCAGATCCTTCTGAGGGCTGTGTTTTTAGGTGTGGGCACAGGAAATGGCTCTGGGGTGCTTTGGAGCAAAGCCTCCCCTCTCTGGCAATCCTGGGAGCGCCCCATGGGATGGAGGAGAGGCCTGGCAGTCAGGCAAAGGTTAGGGGAGGGAAGCAAAGGCAGAGGCCCAGAACAGCTCCAGGAAATGTTTGTATTTCTCCACCAGGAGGGAGGACAAACAAGCTTTTTTCGTGCCTTCTGGGCAGCTCTGCTTGCTCTCCAGCACAGAGAAAGTCTGAGGACAAAGAGCCAGGCAGAAAATTAAAATCCTCTGGGACTGGACCCGACAACCCCTCTACAGCATGAATGTCATTGGATCTGCCAGCTGCGTCCCAGAAGTGAACACTTGAATTTCAAAGCTTTTCCCAGCCTAGTGGGGAAACAGGCAACTTGGGACCCAGAATCCAGAAAAAGGACTTTCCTGAGCTTCTCATTTCCTTGCTGAAATTTGTTCTCCCAGCCGTGGCTGCACCCACCCCATGCACGGGCAGCACCTGCATTCCTGGGGAAAGACGTTAGAGGCGGCAGCTGGTGAGTGGTAGCCTGCAGATAAGCATCCGTGTGGGGGGACTTCAGGGCTACCGGCACACGGAACATTTGTCCTCTGTCCACCATGGACAACGGATCGTGCTGCCTGATCGAGGGGGACCCCATCTTTCAGGTGATGCCCCCACTGCTGATTCTGGCCTTCGTGCTGGGTGCCCTGGGCAATGGCATCGCCCTGTGCGGCTTCTGCTTTCACATGAAGACCTGGAAGCCGAGCACTATTTACCTTTTTAACTTGGCCGTGGCTGACTTCCTTCTCATGATCTGCCTGCCCTTTCGGACAGACTACTACCGCAGACAAAGACAATGGGCCTTTGAGGATATTCCCTGTCGGGTGGCGCTCTTCATGCTGGCCACAAACAGGGCTGGGAGCATCGTCTTCCTGACAGTGGTGGCTGTGGACAGGTATTTCAAGGTGGTCCACCCCCACCATACGGTGAACAGCATCTCCAACCGGGCTGCAGCTGGCATTGTCTGTGTCCTCTGGACCATGGTCATCCTGGGGACTCTCTACCTTTTGATGGAGAACCATCTGTGTGTGCAAGAGAAGACTGTCTCTTGTGAGAGCTTCATCATGGAGTCGGCCAACGGCTGGCATGACATCATGTTCCAGCTGGAGTTCTTTCTGCCCCTCAGCGTCATCTTGTTCTGCTCCTTCAAGATTATTTGGAGCCTGAAGCAGAGGCAGCAGCTGGCCAGGCAGACTCGAATGAAGAAGGCTACTCGGTTCATCATGGTAGTGGCGGCTGTGTTCATCACATGCTACCTGCCTAGTGTGTCAGCCAGACTGTATTTCCTCTGGACGGTGCCCTCAAGTGCCTGTAATCCCTCTGTCCACATAGCCCTCCACATCACTCTCAGCTTCACATACATGAACAGTACGCTGGACCCTCTGGTGTATTATTTTTCAAGCCCCTCATTCCCCAAATTCTATACCAAGCTTAAAATCTGCAGCTTGAGACCCAAACATCCAGGACGTTCCAAGGCTCGGAGGCCGAAAGAGATGCCAATTTCAAACCTCTGTCGCAAGAGTCGCATCAGTGTGGCAAATAGCTTCCAAAGACAATCTGATGTGCAGTAGGATCTCCAAATGTGTTGAATGGCACTAAAACAGAGAAAATCAAGGAGGACAAACTGGCAACTTTGAAATAATTCATGCTAAGGGGTGGGGGGTTTGAGAATGCCATCCTTGCTTACACGTATCCCCCTCACTCTGTTGGAAATGAAATCCAGGTTATTGTCTTTTGGAAGGTCCCAGTTGAGAAGTGAGTCAGTTGCATTTATATGATCTGATTACAATGACAGGATGATGTGCACATGAAATGGGGCATGTGTATGTTGGGTGGGGGGTTAGGAAGAGTTCGGCTCCTACGTCATTTTAAGTGGCTAAGTAAATAGATAGCAATGTTTAACCCAGTAATGATCTCTCTCGTGCGGGCAGTTAGTGAACTTAATGACTTATTAGTGTTTTCTATCGTCTGACCTTAAATAATTACTTGTCTTAGAAATAGAAACTGGAGTAGGTCAATGCTTTTATTTCAGGCTGAGTGAGGCTCTTTAGATTGGGATGTCTTGATGCTCATGATTTTCATCTTCATGGGATCCCTCTATACATTGCTGACTTCTTAGTAGCCCAAGAAGAATGACAGCAAAATGATCTGCTCTGACCTACCTTGAACTTTGCATTTTTATGCAAGGCTTTGCATTTCAAAGAAGGTTCTAAGGGATATGTTAGCTGCTCTAATTTTTCTAGTGGGAGCTGAGTGCTTGAAAAACTCCAGTTGGATCTTTGGGAAGTGCTGAATTTGACATAATTGCATTTTACTGCTTGTTTTGTTACTATGAAATGAAGTTATTCATTCACATATTCTCCATGTATTTACTGAATCCATATTCTGTGTCAGGCACTATGCTAGTGTCCTTTTTACCTGGAGGGCTGTTAGTCAAATCTGGTGTGATAGCAAAGTTTGTGGGTGGTTTTTTGGGGGGGTGCAAACAGAGGTTAATAACCTTCGCTCTTTCAATGAATACAGTTTGTAGACTTGTTTTCTGCAACATCAGTGTTTTCCTCATATTTCAGGATTCTGTATAAACAACAAAGGGTGCAAAGGCAGTGATCCCTTATGCTCGTGAATTTCTCAGATATGTATCTGGAGCCCTCAAAACTAGATGATTACATGGGATGACAGGCTGCCCCTGCCCTGGATTAGGTGGAAAGATTCCAAGCAACTTGAGCTTCGTTCTCAAACCACTAAGTGGTGAAAGTCATTCTAGGCTCCTTTATTTACACTTTCTCAAGCTCCCTGGGTACTCTCTGCACTTCAGGACCTTTTTGTTCTTTGACCTAAAAACACCTCTATAGGCTATCCTTTTCCAGAGACACTGCACAACCTGGGCAGTAGGAAGTCAGATGAATCTAAGCCTGAAACCCAGCTTGACCACTTACTGGATGTGTGATCTAGGGGCAGATTTTACTTAAATACTTTAAGCTTCAATCTCCTCATCTGTCAAACAGTGGTACCAACAATGTTGACTTCAAAAGGTCACTGGGTGTATTCAATGAATGAAGAGACTGAAGCATAGGGACTTAGTTTGCTGTAAAACCTCAGTGCCTAGAAGAGTGCCTGGACATGGTCGGCTCACTAGATATTTGAATGAGTAAATACAGGGAAACCAGTAAGTACCATGTTAGTGTCATGACTTGTTATGTAACACACTTTACACATAAAGAAATAGGCACAGAAGCAATTTTCTTTAAGATTCAAAGCCCTTAAGTAGCTGCCCCACTGTCACTACCCAAATGCCCCAGCTGCTAGGGAAGGAGTGAAGGCAAGGATTCTTATCAGCATCAAGGAAACACATAGCCTCCTGATAGACATTAACGAAAACCCTCCCTTCTGCTTTTAATTGCATTCTTAATTATAATTATTTTCTGGGCTGCTCTTTTGTTACTTCACCTTAATAAAAATGGGTTTTGTAAGAAAGCCTGTGTCCTGTGTGTGACCCGTCCATGTCAAAAGACTCATGAGTCTTTGCCCTATAAGGAAAAAGGTCTTAAAAATCCAGAAGCTCCTGGTGAGCCGAGGTTCTCACTAAAAAACAGCAAGAAGGGACAAAAAGAAAGAAAATAAAAAAGCCAAACACAGTCTTGACTCTGATTTTTGCTTCCCTTTTTAGATTTATACAATGTGATGAGAAATAAATCTTATCAGGAAGTGTTCTTCAGAAAATTTAAGGAAGAGAGTAAAGCTTTGTTTTGACTTAAGCATAGGGCCCTTCTGAGCTCATCCATGAAGCTGGGGCCCTAAATTGTACATATATTTTTTATGTATATAATTTATAATAAAATACATATAATATAAAAAGCATATATAATATATAATATTATATATATTCTAATATATAATATTTCTACTATATACATAATTTACATTATAATATATATTTATATATATATTTTTAGATTGGAACATCTTGATCCCAATGATTTTCATCCTCATGGGGCCTGTCTGCACATTTCTGACTTCTCAGTAGCTCAAGAAGCATGACAGCAAAAACAGCTGCTCTGATCTTCTTCAAGGTCAGAAGAAATTTATATATATAATTTATATTATAATATATAATATATATTTATATGCATAAAAATTAAATGTCCATAGATTTTATATTTTATATATATGTATGTAGGTTGAGGTGGAGTAGAATACACAGTTGGTTTCACATATGGGCCTAATCTATATTCAGCTTCTAATGATGATACAGTGGAAGTGGGAAGGGGGGCAGTATATTATTCCTTGTAAAGATTCATTCATTCATTTGTTCTTTCTTTCAAGGAACATTTATTAGGCACCGGCTCTGTACCAGCACAGTAGAAACATAAATGAAAACTATAGCCCCTGACCCCACGGTTCTATTATGGAAACCAAGGGAAACTAAAACTACTTGCAGATCAACCGTGGTGAAAGCAGTGGGCAGATTCTACAGCAGGACCCTGGGGCCCTTCATCCTGCTTAGGGGCTGGGGCCAGGCTTCTCAGAAGGTGACTTGTGAGCTGAGTCCTGAAGGATGAATAGGAGGCCACAGGATGACTGTGCGGGTGGTGCCTGGGGAGGGTATTCCAGTCAGAGAAGAGAGAGCTGAGAAAGCAGACTGTCTGGGCACTGCAAAAGGATCAATGGGACAGGAATGAAAAGCCCAGGCTGCAGCTGCACCAGCCTGGTAAGAGGTGAAGCCCTGAGATCCGCGGGCAGGGAAGGGTCTGTACACAACCCTTCTTGACACAAGATTTGTGTACAGCCTTCCAGAGACCTTTTTTTAAAAAAATAAGTAAATTTCTTTAATTACAGAAGACATACATGTTTTTCTTCAAAAATTCAAAGAACATAAATATGTAAAGTAAGAAATAAAAGTCTTCTTTTCATTCTTTTTAATCTAATTTCCTAGAGGTGATGACGACTTTTAATGTTCAGGGTAGACACACATGTACACAAATAATGAATCTTTTGCATTGTCTTACTAAAGCAGGATATATGTGTGTGTGTGTGTGTGTGTGTGTGTGTAGATAAATATATAAATTTGCAAGGTATTTCAAAATGAATAGCTTCCTACATCAAAACAGAGACCAAGATCATTGTTTTAAAGCTATATTTCACTGTATAAATGAAACCACATATAGTTCATTTAACCAATAGCTTTTTAGTGGACATTTATTTCCAGTTTTCCTTGATTGACATCAAGCTGTATGGTGAATATTCTAAATGATACATCTTGGGCACATGTGCCAGAGTTTTTGGAAGATAGATTTTTAGACATAGAATTGTTGGGTCAAAGAACAGGCTTAATAGGTGAGGCAGTGTGCAATGAGGTTGTAAGACAAATCAGTGGCATGCTAAGCCCCTGGAGCCAAACGGGGTTTAAAATCCCCTTAGCTTACTAGCTGTGAGGCCTCAGGCAAGTTACTTACTGTCCCAATGTTTTTACTTTCCTTGTTTTTAAAATGGGGACAAGAATAAAAGCTGCCCCATAGAGTTGTTGTACTAAATAAGTTTGGCTGTATAAAGCAGCGAAAATAGAAGCCAACATAGAGTAAGCACTATTTCTATTACCTCTCATTATCTTGTGTAAGTTCGTATTATATTGGTTTTATTATAATCTTGATAGATACTGCCAAAGTGTCCAATGAAAAGGCTGAACCAGTTTATACTCCCACCAGCAATGTATGAAAAAGCCTTTGTCTACACTCCTGCCAACAGGCCCGTGTTTGTTTTCTTAGTAAGCACTTTTTCCTTTTTTTGTAAAAAACAAACCAAAAACTTCACTCCTTTAAAATGATGAAGTCCAATTTATCAATTTTATTGTTGTTTGTGCTTTTGGTGTTGTACTTAGAACAGCTTTTCTTAAACCAATGTCATGAAGACTTGTTTCCTTCCTTACTTATATCAAGTCTTACACTGAAATCTGTAATCCATTTTGAGTCAATTTTTGTGCGCAAAGCAAGGAAGGAGTTCAACATCATTCTTTGCGTGGGGCTATTCAGTTGTCCCATGGGTTTATTAAAAAGACAATTCTTTCCTGTCTTTTTACTCTTGTCTTTGAACTCTTGTTGAAAATCAGCTGACCGTAAGTTGCAAGAGTTTATTTTTGAACTCTCAATCCTGTTTTATTGATTCTTATGCCAGAACCACACTCTCTTGATTACTGTATGTAGTTTTGCAGTAAGTTTTTAAATGGGAAATGTGTGTTCTCCACATTTGTTCTTCTTTTTCATGATTATTCAGTTACTCTGATTTGCCCTTAAGTATTTTACATTAAATTCAACACCATGTCTCAAAATCCTGAAATACCCTTCTTTCCTTGCATATGTCTCTGCCAGTCAATGTCACCAGCTTTATCTCTTGCCTCCTTACTTCCCACTTTTCCTACTTCATCTTCATCAGTGGTCCAGAGGTCTCTCATTTCCCACTAGCCAGGTGTCCCAACTCAATTTCATTCACTGTGTGCAGAGGCAAGTCTCCCCAAATGCCCCTAATGAACTGTGTGTTCTGTGCCCCTGCCATGTGGCCCCTCCCGTTGAATATGGACTGGCTCTGTGACTCACTTTAACCTGCAGAACATGGTGAAGGGGATGTTCTGAGACTTCTGAGCCCAAGCAGTAAGAAGGTGTGCTTGTGTGCCTTCAGAAGCCTTGAGTAGCAGCCTTATGAGAAGCCCAGGGAAAGCTGTGTGAAGATGCCACAGACAGAAAGACACAGACTCTCTATGAGGGACAGAAGCCCAGATGTCCCAGGGTCCTGCTTCTGTCTAGCTGCCATCTAAGAGACCCCAAGCAAGAACCAACCAGCTGAGGCCAGTCAACCCAGAGAACCATGAGAGATAATAAGACAATTGTTCTAAGCCACTAAAGTTTGTGATGGTTTGTCACATGTCAATAGATAACTAAAACAAATTGCAGCTAAATTCAAAGACAGCTAGTGAATTATTTAACTTCTCTAAGCCTCAGTTTGCTGATCCATAAAATGGAGATGATGGTAAGAATAGCACATCACTCCCAGGTTTTTTGTGAGGAATAAATGAGATAACATATGCAAATCTCCTAACACAATGCCTGGCACAAAGCAAGCAATTGATAAATAATCACTTGTTATTATTAATTAAAAGAAAATCCAGTTCAGTGGCACACATTCAAGCTTTTAGGCATGAAAATCCAAGTCATTTATGAAAGTCATAGATTTTAAGTGGAGTTTCCACCAACTCAGGGGAATCACTGTCTTAGTTGTTGAAATGATTCATTATAACAAGTTTCTGTACAACTCATGCACTAGTAAGAAAAAAAAACAAAAAAACAGAAGGACACAGCCAGACGAAACATGCCCGTGGCACAGTGGGAAGACAGGAAATTCCATAGTAAGCACCAGACTCCAAGAAGGCCGGAATTTATATTCTATCAGAGTAGTTGTGGACTTTGGTTTACAATTACAGAATGAAAGAGCTGGAATGAAGCTTGAAGACCGTCTAACCCCTCAATTTACACATGAGGAAGTGTTAAATCGAAGAGTTAAGCGGTTTCATGGGTAGTTAATGATACAGCCAGAACAAGCTCCCAGGGTCTCCAGCTTTTTATTTTTCAAACTTAACAATATTCGTTATTCTTGTTTTCTAATTTTATCTATGACTATTGTTTTAAAAAATTACAGAATTGTAAAATTTATCGAGGGAGGGCCTCTTGCAAATTCTAACTCCCAGAAATTACTATGGTTAATAGTCATTTTTTATGACTCTTAGTTCATAAGGCCTGTAGGATTACATTATTTTCTTGTATTGTTGACAAGTCTGCATTTGCCCAAGAAGGAAGCAGGATATTCACAGGCAGCAAGGACAGGTAACACTTAACAATCATTTCCCTAAAGCCTTAATAAACTCACATAATATGACCTTGATCTAGGGCAGCATTACAGATGAGTCAATAACATAGTAAGAGGCAGTGTAGTGTAATGGTTAGGGACAGAGGCTTTGAAGCCAATGGCAGATTCAAATCCAAGCTCTGTTCTTACTAGCTGGGTAGCCTGAATATATTACCAGTCTCTCTGGGCTTCACTTTCCTCATCTTGAAATTGGAATCAGTAATAGTCTCTACCTCATGGACTGCAGTCTGGGTAAAACAGAATAATGGTATTTATAGCACTGAGCATGGGGTCCTGCACACTGGAAGCTCTCTATATCGTAGGTAACGACATCATCTTTTTTTCGAATTGAGATATAAATCTCATATATTAGTTTCAGGAGTACAACATAATGATTCAATATTTGTGTATATTGGGAAGTGATCACCACAATAAGTCAAGTTAACATCCATCACCATATGTAACTTCAGAATGTTTTATTTCCTGTGATGAGAACTTTAAGATTCACTCTCTTAGTAACTTTGAAATATGCAATACAGTATTATTAACTTTAGTCTCAATTCTGTACAGTATATCCCCATTACTTATGTATTTTATAACTGGAAATTCTTACTTTTAACTCCCTTCATCCATTTTGCTCACCCCTTACCCCCAACTTCTCTTGGCAACCACCAGTCTATTCTGTCTCTATGAGCTTGGGTTTTTATTTGCTTGTTTGTTTGTTTAAATTCCACATGTGAGAGAGAGCATATGGTATTTGTCTTTTCTGTCTGACTTAATTCACTTAGTATAATGTCCTCAAATACCACATTTTCTTCATCCATTCATCTGTAGATGGACATTTAGGTTGTTTCTGTATCTTGGCTATTCTAAATAATGATGCCATAAACATAGAGGTGTATATACCTTTTCAAATTAGTGATATTGTTTTCTTTGAGTAAATTCCTAGAAATGAAATTAATGTTTTATATGGTATTTCTATTTTTAACTTTTTGAGAAACCTCCATACTGTTTTTGATAGTGGCTGCACAACTTTACATTCCTACCAACAGTGTGCAAGGCTTCCCTTTTCTCCACATCCTCACCAACACTTGTTATCTCTTATCTTTTTGACAGATAAAGTTTGAGGACCTTTTTCATTGTGGTTTTGATTTACATTTCTCTGATGATACTGATCTTGAGTATCTTTTCATGTACTTATGGGTTATCTGTATGTCTTCTTTAGAAAAATGTCTACTCAGATCCTCTTCCCATTTTTAAAATTGTATTATTTGTTTTTTTACTATTAAGTTGTATGAGTTCTCACATATTTTGGATATTAACCCCTTATCAGACATATAACTTGCAAATATTTTCTCCCATTTATTAGGTTGTCTTTTCATTTCTTTGATGGTTTCCTTTGCTGTGAAGAAACTTTTTAGTTTGACACAGTCTCTTTTGTTTATTTTTGCTTTTGTTGCCTTTGCTTTTGGTGTCAAATATGAAAAATCATTGCCAAGACCAATGTCAAGTAGCTTACCATCTGTGTTTTTTTTTTTCTAGGAGTTTTACAGGTTTTGGTCTTATATTCGAATCTTTAATCCATTTTGAGTTAATTTTTGTGTATGGTGTAAAATAGTGGTAGATTTTCCTTCTTTTGCATGTGGTTGTCCAGCTTTCCCAACACCATTTACTGAAGAGACTGTCCTTTCCCCATTGTATATTCTTGGCACCTTTGTCATAAATAAATTGTCCATATATGCATGGGTTTATCTCTGGGCCCTCTATTCTATTCCATTGATCCATATGTCTGTTTTTAAGCTAATACCATACTGTTTTGATTACAATAGCTTTGTAATATAGTTTGAAATCAGAATGTATGATGCTTCCAGCTTTGTTCTTCTTTCTCAAGATTGCTTTGGATATTTGGGGTCTCCTATGGTTCCATACAAAGTTGAGGATTGTTTGTTCTATTTCTGTGAAAAATGCCATTGGAATTTTGACAGAGATTGCACTGAATCTGTATTTTGCTTTGGGAAGTATGGACATTTTAACAATATTAATTCTTCCAGTCCATGAGCATAGAGTATTTTTCCATTTATCTGTGTCCTCTTCAATTTCTTTCATCAATGTCTTACAATTTTCAGCTTAAAAGTCTTTCATCTCCATGGTTAAATTTATTCCTAGGTATTTTATTCTTTTTGATGCAATTGTAAATGAGATTGTTTTCTTAATTTCCCTTTCTGATAGTTCATTATTAGTATAGCCAACATCACCTTATTCTTTATCATCATCAAGTGCTTACAGGAGTCTAATATTAGATATTAGATCATCAACTCCAGTTTACTGTGAAGAAGTTTCTACAAACCCCTACTATTGAAACTGGATATGCAACTAAAGAAACAAATTTCTTATTTCTAACTCCAAGAAGAAGCAACACAATTTAGAACCCCTTGCACAGCAAAAATTCATAACCAAATATTATAGGGTAGAAATTCTGTAGGGTTACACTCAATTATACTGAAAAGCAAAGAAATGATGTGTAAAATGGTGACCTGCTGTGAGGCAGAGTTCAAAGTCCTATTAGGTCTTGTCAGTCTAAGTTTAATTTTCTAAAAACAGGGGCATTTAAAATACCATGCACTTAGTGAGGGAGGTTGTACATGTGTGGGGACAGGGATGTACAGCTCACTTTAGCTGTGAACTTCAAACTGACTTAAAAAATAGAACTTATTAATTTTTTAAAAATCATGTACTTAAAAATAAGTCACTTGAGCACAGAAGCCATCAAAATCTAACAAAAACAAACAAAACACTCAACTTATTATAACTTGTTACTGGCATTCCAAACTGGGTTCAAGTTTTCAGACATCTTGTGAAATTTTAATGCTGCTCTTAAGTCATACTTTTTTTTATCCTAACTAGAGATTAATTGCAGAATTCTGGTGTGGAAAAGCCATCCATGTTTGTACAGAGAAGGTGGCACGGAAACATCGAATGCAACACATCTGTCCTAAGAAAAATAGATAATCACTGTCTTCTCAGCCTTTCTAAAAGAAATCACATGCATGCTACTGTTTCTTAAATCATATACATGCTGATATTTCATACTCATTCTTAATGTTTCTGGATAACCATGCTGTTAGCATAGTAAATTACTATTGCTGTTGTTTTGTTAACTATGTAAGCTGACAACATGACAGGGACTTAATTCTCCAGTGTTAAGTACTCAGCATACTGCCATGAAGCCTTCCAAAAAGAGGTCCTCCACATTTCAGTAATTTATGATGACAGTCGGCTTGCCTAAACTTATCCTTTACATTTAGAAAATTTTGTGGGTTCCTGTCTGCCCAGGGGATTTTTATTATTTGTTTATGCAAACAGCAGGTTGCATAAGAACCTTGCTGGCTTTTTTTCTTTCTTTCTTTCTTTCTTTCTTTTTTTTTAAGCGATTTCACAGCTTCCTGGTAACCATTCAGTCATCTGTTTCAACACCCTGACATGACATAAAGGCGGGCACTGAACCACACATTCACCACACAGACACACACCTCTTTCCTTGAGCGCTCACTGGGTGAGACACTCCTTAGGCGCTCCTCAACTCGATCCACTCATGAACCCACACCACTGGCAGAATTATTTTCTGGAAATAGATAAGAAGAATTGCTGTGTGTTCCGGGATGACTTCATTGCCAATGTACTACCACCGGTGTTGGGGCTGGAGTTCGTGTTCGGGGTTCTGGGCAATGGCCTGGCCCTGTGGATCTTCTGCTTCCACCTCAAGTCCTGGAAATCTAGCCAGATTTTCCTGTTCAACTTGGCTGTGGCTGACTTTCTCCTGATCATCTGCTTGCCATTCCTGATGGACAACTATGTGAGGAAGTGGGACTGGAGGTTTGGAGATATCCCTTGCAGGCTGATGCTCTTCATGTTGGCCATGAACCGCCAGGGCAGCATCATCTTCCTCACAGTGGTGGCTGTGGACAGGTATTTCCGGGTGGTCCATCCCCACCATGCTCTGAACAAGATCTCCAATCAGAGAGCGGCTGTCATCTCCTGCGTCTTATGGGGCGTCACCATCGGCCTGACGGTTCACCTCCTCTACAAAAAGATCTTGATCAGGAATCAAGATGCAAATTTGTGCAGCAGCTTTAGCATCTGCCATACCTTCAGGTGGCATGATGCTATGTTCCTCTTGGAGTTCATCCTCCCCCTGGGCATTATCCTGTTCTGCTCCGTCAGAATCATCTGGAGCCTGCGGCAACGCCAAATGGATAGGCATGCCAAGATCAAGAGGGCCATCAACTTCATCATGGTTGTGGCCATTGTCTTCATCATCTGCTTCCTGCCCAGTGTGGCTGTGCGTATACACATCTTCTGGCTCTTGCACACCACAGGTACGAAGAACTGTGACATCTATCGCTCTGTTGACCTGGCGTTTTTCATCACCCTCAGCTTCACCTACATGAACAGCATGCTGGACCCTTTGGTGTATTACTTCTCCAGCCCATCTTTTCCCAACTTCTTCTCCACCTTGATCAACCGCTGCCTGCGGAAGGAGACGCCAGATGAACCAGATAATAACCGGAGCACGAGCTTCGATCTCACAGGGAATCTGACTACTACCAGGAGTGTCCCTGATGCTTTAATGGCTAACCCCAGTGAGCCATGGAGACCCTCTTGTCTGAACCCAGCTTCTCATTAAGTAAACAAGCCAAGAAGGGAGGTTGTCACCCAGAACCAGGATCTCTGGAGAAACAGTTTGGCTGGTGCACAGAGTAACATCATCAGACCTGGCCTGCAATTTCCTGGAACTTCCAGATTCAGAGAATCAGATTTAGAGAAGTGGTGTGGCCATGTGGGCTGCTTGGTTACAAGGTGTCACCACAGGAATCCTGGGGGAACAAAGAGGAAAGTTAGGTGTCTAAAACTGCTGCTCAGTCTCTGACACTTGCAGAACCACAGGTAGCAAGGCTGCCCACATTGCTGCCCAGCAGAGTTGGAGCCACTGGGATGGCTGTCAGCAACTGCAATTTGCTGGCCTCTTTCCCTCACCTGCCTGAGCTTGCGATGGTTCTCAACTCCTGGGGTGATAGTTAATCTGATCTGTGGGCTCCATCTGGGATAAGGAGAGCTAAGTGATTGGAGGGGAATTATTGCTCCTACAAGGAGCCCAGGCATCAGGACATAAGCCAGTAGGTCACCTGCACTCCATGGGACCAATTCATCTTTCTGCCAAGCTCTAGCAGAAATGGACCAGGACCAGACAAAGAGACTGGAGAACTTTGATTGACAGTCTGAGTTCCCAGTGATGGTAAGGGGATTAGCCCCTAATCCCTAAAGGGAAGGAAGTACTAAGGGGAAGGAAGGGGATTTATGCTACAATCTGAGGCTAATCCTTTCCTCTTTTGTTTACACTGATTTGAAGGCTGAACAGTTAAAAAGGCTTCAGGGAGGAGGCTGCTTCCCACCTGTTTGCTTTCATCACTAAAGGGGAAATGCTTCCCAATGGTTGGAAGGGGAAGCTTTCTCCTGCTTCATTTGCTTGTGTTTCTGTACTTATAAGAACTCTACCCCCTCAATAAACTTAGACATGAGACACACAATCTGATGTTGCATGTGTCTGGGTAAAGGTTCACAGAAACGGACTTCTAACTTAAGCAGAGACCTTTATGGGTTGTTAGCTGTGTGCTGGAAGAAAAATACTATATACTGTAAAGTAAGAAAAGGACATGGATGCTGAGCTACATCACGAGACAGTTAAGTAAAAATTACGTATGCATTGGGACAAGGATGGGAAGCGCTGGGAATAAATAAAAACAACTTAATTCGAAAGGATAGTACAGACAGCATTGCAAGAGTGTCTGCATTTTATTTAGAGTTTGGGGAATACTGCTATTACCATTTATGTATTAAAAAAAAGAATCAGGCCAGACTGGGAATTTGCAGAGGAAGGGGAACTTCCTATGGAATAGTTTCAGTTCCCAGTTCTGGGACGGAAAGGAGATGTACTGGTTTGAGTCTTTGATCAGTCCAAGTTTCTGTTATGATTTCATTTCCAGCTTCTGTCACTCCTTGATTCTTTAGCAAGATGAGGCTTGCTTTGATATCCTGACTCAGATACAGATAAGAAATGTAGATACTCAGACTCCCAGCTACAGTTGAGTGGCAGTAAATGAACTTTGAACATTCTTCAATTTCTGAAGTGTTTTCAGAGCACATTGCTTGTCTGGTTCTCCAATCAACTTCTAGAGGTAGAAAGTTAAAATCAGAGATCACCTTCCTAAAGAGGAAGAGATAGCAGAGGTGAATCAGAGGAAAGAGGGATTCCCCCACCTCAGATGTGTGTCAGCCAGGAGCCCGTTTGTGAGACTCCTGATAGATTCAGAACTAACTCATATTTGTTTGTTTGTTCATACATTCCACCAGCTTTTACGTATTAAGCACCAACTACGTGCCAGATGCCACTTTGGGTGGCTGGTGGGAATAGAACACAGAACCAGGTATCCAAGACTTTTCTCTCAAAGAACTCAAAATTCAAGGTGGGGAGGCAGCCGGAGAAGCAAACCAATGAATGGAAAGAGAATTAGGGGTAGCTATGAATATTATGAAGACAGCAAAGTGGGGTGACAGGCTAAGTGGGATGACTGGGAAGGTCTCTATGAGGACGTGACCTTGAGCTGAGCCATAACTGACAAGACAGAGCAAACAGTGGAAAAATCTGGGGGCAGGGCATTCCAGACAGAGGGCGTGATAAACATAAAGGCCCCTGGGTGTGAAGCAGTTTGGTGTGTGTGAGACCTCGTTTCCTAGGGCTGCCATAGCAAAGTGCCACCCATTCTGCACAACTTAAAAGAAAAATGTATTCTCTCAGGGTTCTGGAGGCCAGAGTCCAAACCAAGGTGTCAGCAGGGTGGGTTCTTTCTGGAGGCACTGAGGGAGAATCTGTCCCACCCATGCCTCACTCCTGGCTTCCAGGGGCTGGCGACAATTCCTGGTGTTCTGCGGCTTGCAGATGCATCACTCCATCTTCACGTGAACTTCTCTTCGTGTCTGTGTCTTCTCTTTTTCTGTCACTTATAAGGCTACTTGCCACTGGATCCAAGGACCACCCTAATCCAGGATGATCTCATCTAGAGATCTCTACCATAATTACATCTGCAAGGACCTTTGTTCCAAATCAGGTCACATTCTGAGATCCTGGGTGGACATGCCTTTTGGGATTCCCTACTCAACTCACTACAATGGGGAACAGAGAAGATACCAGAGTGGGTGGTACAATGAGTGTGGGGTCTGCTACACGGCAAGGTAGAGAACCTCTGTTGTGCAAAAATAATGAAAGACTTGAGGAAAAGATCACATGCTATTAAATGAAAAGGGTCTTGAAACAACAAAAAAAATACAATCCCGAGTCTGTTTTACGAGCTGTGTATCTGTGTACATCTACATGGAACTGTTTGGAAGGAAAGGACTCGGCTCGGGGTCGCAGGGAAGTCAGATGCAGTGAGACGAGAGACCAAAGTCAAGAAAGCAAAGTAAGTTTTAGTACACTCTGCCCGGAGCCACAGAATGGGCCTGCTAAGGTGAGACAGGCAGGCCCGGATGCTCATTCTGAGGCTTCTTTTATGTGGTTTTGGCACGGCAGAGAGGTCCTTGACCGAAGGCGGTCAGCTCTCTAGGCTGGTTCTGATTGGTGAAATGGGGACAGGGGCTGTGCTGTGCTGAGCCTGTGCTCCTGATGCTTCTTATCTGGGGGGGACTCTGGACATTTCCCAAGTCACTCTTGGACCCTGTGGCTTCATCTGATTAGCTCTCGGAGTCATTTCTGGCTTTCTGGCTCTATTTGATCAACTCCCTGAGTCATCTCTGGGGGCCCTTTCTCCTTTCCATCCTGCTCATTTCTGTCTTTCTGCCTAACAGAACCATAGACCAGAAGAACAAAACTAAAGCCTTAACCTGGATTCTACCTGGATGGTGGGAGTACAGTTGGTTTTCCTCTTCCTTTCTGAACTTTTCCTTACTTCCTAACTTGTCAGTGTTGAACTATGTTACTACTATAATTATTTGTAAAGGTTTTAAAAATTAAACCTCATTCAGTTATATGGATATAAACTATAAAACAATAACACCATCATTTTCCTTGATCATCAACAATATTTTCTAAGAGAGTTTCTTAATAAATACTCCAAATATTTCTGTTTCCCTGTCCAGAGGAATGCCAATAGAAATTTAAAATGGGAGCAAACAATGTCGCTCTGGGCTAAACTAGTGGTGTGTACCATTCAGTCACAAACTGGTACAATGTGTGCATGTGTGTGTAAACATATGTATGTATGTCAATGTGTCTATATTTTGGAAGACCCAGTTATAATCACTGATGCTTGTTTTTTGCATTCCTTCCTCTTTACTTGGAAGGGTGCTACTTCTTGGGGGCATGAGTTGCATGAGTTTGCTCTGGGCTATAGAAAAAGGACTTCCTTTTAGCTGCCCTCAAATGATCTTTTCTGATTTTTTCTTTCTTTTTCTAAATTTTCTATTACAAACAATCTTTTCTGAACTTCAAGTGATTACCCCTAAGTCTAGAACCATAAAACCAGGGGTACAAAACCATATTTCTTCCTGAATTTATGAACCCCCTTACCTTTCCAAAGGTATTATTAGCTTATTCGTCCCTTGGTGCCTTGCCTGAAGTGAGGGGCTCCAAACTGCACCTAGTATTCTGGTCCTTAACATGTCCTTGGGTTTAATTTTCAAAGCAATTCCTGATAATCATCTGTAGATCTGTTGGCTCTCCTGCTCACAAGCAGTTGTCTTCACAGATGTCCATCAGGCCCACCTGACCCCTGTCTCCCCTGACTTTGCTTCTGTAACTAGAAGTTAGCTGCGACTTGGTTATCTGAGGTGCCTTGGACTGGGGCATATGTTGGAGGCACTAAATACTGGGAATTGATCATTTACCAACCAACTGGGCCATGCACCATCTCCTGCCCCTCATCTTTTGATTTGAAATGATAGCTTCTTCAAATTGGAACTGAAAGTTTGATGAAATTCTTTGATAGTTGAAGCTGGGCTTTTTGTGTTCCTGGTAAATGCCCTGAGAAGGATATTCCCCTTTGTCTTTTCCCCTTTGTAGTGAGAAGATGCCTTATTACAGTTGTTTAACTCAAGGTCCTTATGGATGAAAGTAACTGAAACACACTTCAGATTAGCTTAAGCAAAAAATTAAAAATAAAAAGAGAGGAAAGATACTGGAAAAATAGTGGTGTACATCACAGAAAGATAATTAAACTAGGCTAAGGCAGCCCCCAGGGAACATGCTCATAGCCCTTCACTGCAGCCCTTAACCCTGAAAGTGACTCAAACCCTCAATACCTGTCCTCTTTGGGCCAGACTCTCATGTGAGAGAATTTGATTGGTCCCAGACCACTTTGTAAAAGGGTCATGAAGACAATAGTTACACAGCAGTTGTGTAAAGGGTATTTTTAAATTGCTGTTTGTGTGAAGACATGCTCTCTGCCAGGTGTTCCTCAGATAACATTTCATATCACCTTCCGTGTCACTCATTTAAGCAGCATGTTGGGCTTTCAGTGGAGTTGATTTCAATCCTCTTGCTTCTAAAATTTGTGCCATGTTTTGAAATGATTGTCCCAAGAAAATGGAGAAGTAATCAGTCAGCCTTCAGGAAGCAATGTGGTTTATACTGCCCCAAGTCCATTCAGATGTGGATCCCCAGATGCGATCTCTAGAACCCCTCAGAAGGACTTCCTGGAGATTTGAAGTCTTTGGCAAGCTTAGCCGCAGTAAGTACCTAGCCATGACATTTTGTTTGCTAAGTTTCATGCCTTCTGAGACAAATGAAACATGGGTATTTTGCAACCAGTGCTGGATTCTCTCTGAGCTCAAGTTTAAAATTTGGCCGTCCTCCGTCTCTTCGGGGAGAAGAGGTTTGTGTGTGGCATTACAAATGTCAGGCCTGACCTACAGTCCACAATCCCATGGCCCTGTCAGATGAAAGGCAAGCACTTCTAGGCTCTTAACAAATATTGATATACTCAGTGCTCTGGACACACCCAGAGAGGGGTTTACAACCATCAGTAGGTATTGGGAACAGTAAGTACGTGATGTTTCCAATGCAACTGAAAAGAAGAGAAAATGAGCTGACTTACTGATGTCATTGGGTTGAAAAACTGGATTTCTTTTCAATATGCTTACAAAATATCCCTCCTTTGGGATACAGTGCTTTAGTAGGAGAATGGTATTGATCTGTTTCGGGTTTTGGTAAAGCAACATGCTGATAAGATGGACTCACAGCCAGAGGCTGCCTTCATCAGCACCAGCAGTTATATGTTGTTGATTTGCTCCTTGCTGTCAGACACTGTGCTGTTTGACATAAATGATCTCATTCTTTCAATAACTTCACAGGATCAATGCTACTTCCATTTCACAGATAAGGAAACTGAGGCCCAGGGAGTGTGAATAGTTTACCCAACATCATACAAAGTGATGGACTAAGGGAATAAACATGAGCTGTCCTTTGCCTTTCGAGTTCTGAAAAAAATGCAAAGTGGGAGATGTACAATGTGAACTGAAAA